GTGGACAGACTTACCTTACCAGGTAGTAAAACTCACTAGGAAGTTGCCATAATAAAAAAAAATGCAGTATTGATCCTGAAACAAATGGGTTAAAGGTATAGCTAGGTGGTGGAGTGCTTTTGCCTAGCATGCACAAGAACCTGGGTTCAACACCAGCACCACAACATAAATAGATAGATAAACAATTAGGAGAATAAAACTGAATATAGTCCAAAAAGAGAGCCATATGTAAGTAGAAACTTCAATTCAAAGCAAAATTAATGTTAGCCCTTTCTAAACACTATCTACAAAATCAATTCTAGATGAATGAAGACATGAATAAAAAGTTAAACATTAAAAAGAAATTTAGAATATTTGTGTGACTTCTGTAGAGATAACTCTATCAACTAAGAAAACAATCCAGAAACGATTAAAGTGAAAACTAGATTTAACTAGGTAAAAAGTATTTTTTATACAGAAAGACACCAAAAATTAAATCAACTTCCTTCAGTGCACAGGCTCTGCACCAGACCCAAAGGCAACAGGGCCAAGTGACCATGGACTGGAACCTCTGAAATCATGAGACAAAATAAACCTTTCCTCCTGAAAAGGTGAGTCTCTTGGGTATTTCGTCATGACAGATGACCAACACACTAGTCAAAGCACAGTCCAATTTGGAATTTTGTTAGGTACTGCTGGATTCATTTCCACAAGAATATAGTTGTTGCCACCCATGGGACCATGACCCAAGAGTGCTCTTTTCCTTTGCAGCACAGGAGGTAGGAATCTTCATTACATTTAAAAATTACATTTGAAAAGAAGTCCAAGTAATGTGGGTGGTTTAATCCCATTTTTATATCTTGAAAAGAAAAGAAATATTCCATATATATAAATTCCAATACATTTTGTGATTGTAAAAGAAAGTGTGGAAGGACAACATTAAACAACACTGGTAATCTTGGTTAACCATGCATAGAGAATTGGTATAGAAAAAAGCATGGTTTTTTTGTTTTGTTTTGTTTTAAGTAGTTACAACAATTATATATTGCTTTTTCAGTATGAAAAAAAAATAGATGAAATTGCTTTTAAAGGCAACTCAAACGCATACATTCACACACACAGGGTTAGCACCCAATGATTATGTCTTTATCAATGTATGTACTAGCAATTTGAATAATTCATAATATACTTGTCTGATGTCTTGGGAATTAATAAAATTTCAAAGAAAATAATGAAGCTGATCTATTAAAGGATAACTGCTCAAGAACTTCACCCACCTCAGTTGGTCCGCTAAGCCATTAATACTGATGATCATTAACTCCAAAATGCAGGAGGCATTCATCCACCAGGGAACTGATCCAGCTCCTAAATGGTTAGCTAGCACAGTATAGGACAGGAAAACATTTGAAGGTGGTCCTCAAGCTAATGGAATCGCCTGTAGAGCTCTGGCCTTCTTCTACTTCACCTGTCTCCAACTCTGTCAAGGTCCCCTGAAATAGTTTGAATCCTAAGTGTCCTCCACATGCCCACATGTTAAAGCTTTGGTCCTAAGTTTGGCTCTACTAGGAAGTGGTAAAAACTTTAAGAGGTGGAGCCAAGTGGGAGGAAGTTAGATCATTGGGGGTGTGCCTTAGAAAGGAATATTGGGACCTAAACCCCTTCCTCTTCATCTGTTTGCTTCCTGGCCATGAGGTGAATGGTTCTGATCCACTACACATTCCTCACCATGATGTGCTGCCTCATCACAGGTCCAAAAGGAATGAGCTGACCAACCATGGACTGAAACCTCCCAAACTGTGAGCAGAAATAAACCTTTCTGTAAAACCATCTCTCCCCACCAAAACAAAACAAAACAAAACAAAAAACACACCACTAAATTTCCTCACCTTCCCTAGTGCTTTCTCAAGCTTCTTTTGAATCTTCATCTCTCCAGGCATGATGTGGGGGCTTTTCCTAAGAAACAGAGGTTGCAAGCCCCTGATCAAGCCTGACTCCTTTACTACTAGGCTTTATGCCATCCCCTTCTGCCTAAACAGTTAATGTAATGGTTAGAGATGTGGTGTCTAAAGTTGGGGCAAGTAAGTTCAAAGCCACTCCTTAGCTGAGTGACCTTGGGCTAGTTACTTATTCCCTCTTCCTCTCAGTATACTCCGCAGAAATAGTCAAGACTTCAGGAGGCCTCCTGGAAGGGAGACAGGCTCCATTGTGCTCCATTCTACTGGCTAAGGCAAGTCAGAGGTCCCATTCAAATTGGAGGGAAGGTAACTGCCCTGGGGCCCTAAGAACCAGGAGGCACAGTACACCAAGCCATCAATGCTACTGGGCTATGACACCATGTAGAATTCATGAAGGGTGAAGGGCATAATAAGTGTAAACTGTTTTTCTTAGGTATTGTTTTTTTCTTAAACAAAGAGTTATTTTTGCTTTGATTCTTCACCATGTACAAACCAGAGAGAGGACCAAGAAAACCAGAGATTGCTAAGGAGTACAGATCTCAGAGGAGGCAAAGAAAGCAGAGTAGAGACCTACGCTCCACTGTACAGATTTCCATAAAAGCTGGCCATCCTAATCACCTTTCTTAAATGAAGAACATCCTTGGAAAGCAGTGTCACCAATCTGTAGTCTGAAAGCAAGCATATATAATCGTCCCTCAGAATCCATGGGGAATGGATTAAAAGACACGCCCCCCCAAAAAATAAAACTAGGGATGTTCAAATTTCCTTATGTAGCACTGTGTAGTATTTGCATACAACTTCCATACACATCCTCTCATATATTTTAAGTCATCTCTAGATGTCTTGTAATGCCTACCACAATGTAAATTCTATCTAAATAGCTGCTATACAACATTGTTTAAGGAATAATGACAAGGAAAAAAAGTCTATACATATTCAGTACAGATGCAGGGATTTTTTTTTAATATTTTCAATCTGTACTTGATTGAATTTGTGGATGCAGAACCTGCAAATATGGAGGACTGTCTGAATATGGCAAGGGGCCCATGCTACCCATTCACAACCACACCACCAAGCAAATCTGCACAACATAAATGAAATCAATCACCCCTTTCTGCAAAGGGCGGAAACAATATGTGAAAGATAGTATGTACTGTATTCAAAGAATTTTAAAGCTGCTTGGGGCACATTAAGTTTGAAGAGTGAAAACAAGCCCAGAAGAAAACCAATGGAAGGATGGGAAGGTAGGAGATGGATCCTGGGCAGAAGTTACCTTAAAAATCTCTAAAATGTAAACAGTTTATTGTTGGTTTGTTGCTGTTCACCAGAGCCTAGAGAAATGTGTACACACAGAAATTTGTGGAATTACTCTGAATCTTGGGAAGCCAGAACTACTCTCTTACAACAGTTGTAAAGAATAACATTTGAAGCTGAATTAACTGTTTTACATACTTAACTCTTTAAACTGAAATGTGAGCATTTCTTGCAGAAATAGTCTTTCTGCTGTGCCCTATTAATGTGTTCTCTTTGGGGTTTATTATTAAAGGGCAGTTCTCTTTGCATACCCCTGGGAGTAGTGGAAAGGCTGGAAGGGTGGTGGGGGGCAGGGATGTTAGGGAGGAGCCAGGGAGTGGAGCTAATTCACCAGTCTGCCACCTGTAGGCTGGTTCCAGCAAACTGAAACCTCAGTACTCACTAGACAGACATGAAAACAATGCATACTAAATAATACTAAAAACTGCGCAACAGATGTGTTAAGACTATATATAGGGGAGCATTTGAATCACGGTTCCTGTGTTCCTGCCTCCCACCCCCTCTCATTGATTTAAACGCTGGGAGCTGTGACCACACATACTGTTATTCCTATTCAGCTCTGCAAGACTCACCCCATGGTCTGAAATAAGCTTTGAAAATTAATACCCCCATTAGGATGAACAACCACACCTGTATCGATCCGTGTTTCAAAGGCATTTTTGCTCCGATCTCGTTTTAAAAGCCATGAAAGGAACTTAGAGAACAAAGGCCATTACAAATTAAATAAATAAAAGCAAGCTGGACGTTTTTGTGTGTTTTTTTTTTAATTTCAAAACTCAAGAATAGCAACCTTAATTACAAAGGCTTGGTTTGGATTTCTGTAGGTGGAATTTGAACATACCTAGTTTAAGTGTAAGTCTATACGATGTATTTCAGCACCATAAACCAAATGTAGTTACAGATGTCAAGAGTTCTCAGAACAAGTGCCTCTCTTTATAAATATCTGCTCTGCATATATTTTTCCCATTCCCATATGTCCATTCTGTATTACTATAGGGGGAAAAGCAATTTTCAACCAAATGCTAAAAAATGTCAAGAATTAACTCTTAGTGACAATCATTTATTTAATAGCGATCTCCTGGTGTCTTTTTCCTATGAGGTTGACTAGTCACGGGCTTCTTTGATTTGGGAGTCAAAAACCTGAAATCAGTCGTCCTGACAGTCTGAAGCTCAGAAAACACGCCCCCCAGACGCTGCCTGCAGGTCGGCTGCCCAGTTCAGCAGGCCGTTAGGGGCGGGAAACCGGAGTGCCTGACACTGGTCGGCGAGTGGCCAGAGGAGGTAGGTTGGTCACCGCGGCCGGGACTGGCCCGCTGCCTGACAGTACGCACCACGCTTCCTCCCCGCCTGGCTAGGGCCACTGCGAAGGCGAGGCGTGAGCAGACACGCAGCACCGCACTGGGTTCGGATCCCACCAAGGACGCAGCAGCGCGCGGAGAACCCAAGGGCCGGCCGCCAAATGCCGGATTGCTGCCCACCCTGTGGCGAAGGGTGGGCGCCTGGCTTCTGTTTCCTCTAAGAAAAGTAACTCTGGGGATGAGCGCAACGGAAAAGCGGACGCGATGTTCCGGGAGCCGCGAGTCAGTCCCCGGAGTTATTCTGCCCGGAGTTTTGAACTGCAACCTGCGCTGCAGCTCGACCCTGGGCGTTCGCACCCCAACTTGGAGCCCGCGGTGGCGTCCCGGCGGCGCCTGGGTCCCGGGCACGCGCTCTCTCCCGGAGCCCTGTCCCTGCCGGGCCTCAGACACTCACCGAGAAGCCAGCCCAGAAGGGGCAGGAGTGACGGACGCGGGCGGAGGTAGTGAGCGCCAACGCGGCGAAGCTGACAGCCACGATGAGGCATCCGAGCGCCATCTGCGTGGCCCCGAGCGCCAGCACGATGCGGGAGCGGCCCGGGCACTCGCGCAGGCGGGACAGGCTG